AACACGTCGAGGAACTTGATCGACGTCGATAAAGAAGATTTTTCTAAATGCCTACGTTGCCGACGTTGGTTTTTATATTGATAGCTAGGTCGAATTATGTTAAATATTGTACCAAATGGCATACTCCACCTTTCGTTTTCGTGCAATAAATATCAAGAAATCGAAGTAAAACTCCAGAAATCCTCTGCATTCATGCTTTCTGAGGCCTTAATTGACTGCAGAGGGACCCCGTGCGCCATCTGTGATTTCCAGGTCAATTAAATTTTCACTCCGAGACCTCGTATTACCATCGTTTTAGCAAAGAAGCGCATACAACACTTTTTTTGCCATCTGTGATTTCCAGGTCAATTAAATTTTCACTCCGAGACCTCGTATTACCATCGTTTTAGCAAAGAAGCGCATACAACACTTTTTTTGCCTTTATCCCGTTAAAATGTAAGTTTATCGATTACCACAGCGCTCATAATTGTCATACAATTGTTCCGACCCTTTCGTTTCTCATATTAGAGCCTTCAATAATTGTCATTTTTGTTTTAGCCTGGACTAAATTAAACGTTTTCTTTTCAAAAATCCAAATTCTGAATGTGCCAGGGCAATTCTAAGACGACTGCGAGTCACTATGTGTCAAAGTTTCGAACAGTTTGGTCTAATACCCTTAAAAAAAAAGTGTTGTATTCGAATCGAGTATTCGAATCACCTTAAGGTGAAGTGAAACACGTCAAGGAACTTCATCGACGTCGATAAAGAAGATTTTTCTAAATGCCTACGTTGCCGACGTTCGTTTTTATATTAACAGCTGTGTCGAATTGGTATTGTACCAAATGACATACTCCACCTGTCGTTTTCCTACAATAAATATCAAGAAATCGATGTAGAACTCCAGAAATCCTCTGTATTCATGCTTTCTGGGGCCCTAATTGACTGCAGAAGGACCCCCTGCGCCATCTGTGATTTCCAGGTCAACTAAATTTTCACTCCGAGACCTCGGATTACCATCGTTTTGGCATAGAAGCGCATACAACACTTTCTTTGCCTTTATTCCGTTGAAATGCGAGTTTATCCGATTACCAGAGTGTTCTAAATTGTCGTACAATGGTCCTGACGCTTTTATTGTACTAAATGGTGTACTCAACATGTCGTTTTCGTACAATAATTAAAAAGAAATAGAAGTAATACCCCAGAAATCCTCTGAATTCATGCTTTCTGAGGTCCTAATTGACTGCAGAGGGACCCCCTGCGCCATCTGTGATTTCCAGGTCAATTAAATTTTCACACCAAGACCTCGTATTCCCATCGTTTTGGCATAGAAACGCATACAATACTTTTTTTGCCTTTTATTCCATTCAAATGCGAGTTTATCGTTTACCAGAGTATTCTAAATTGTCGTAAAATTGTCCTGACCCTTTCGTTCCTCATGTCAAATCGTTCGATAATTGTATAATGATCGAAATATGAGAGCTCGACGCCATTTTGATTCTGGTTTGGGCCGAGGTAAAAAATTTTTTCAAAAAATCTAAATTTTCAATGTGTCAGGACAATTCTTAGATGATCAGGAGTGATGTGCCAAAGTTTCGGACAGTTTGGTCTAATACCCTTAAAAAAAAGTGTTGTATTCGAATCGACTGATTTAAGGAGGTTTCACTTCACCTTAAGAACAAAATATTCGGCGGAAATTGTTGGCATTGAGGATGTTTTATGGATATATTATGTATTCCCCAATGATTAAACTTTCTCCATAAATCCTTCCTCGTGATATATTTCCTCGTCAATCATCGAGTCGATAATATTTTTCCGCGCCGATAGCGCACTTAAGGCGAAGTGAAACCCCCCTCAAATCAGTCTATTCGAAAAAAACACTTTTTTTTAAGGGTATTAAACCAAACTGTCCGAAACTTTGGCATATAACTCGTGATCATCTTAGAATTGTCCTGGCACATTCAAAATTTGAGTTTTTGAAACAAATTTTTTAACTCAGCCCAGACCAGAACCAAAATGGCGGGGAGCTCTCATATTTCGATCAATGTACAATTATCGAAGGCTCTGATATGAGAATCGAAGGGGTCAGGACAATTTTACGACAATTTAGAACACTCTGATAATCGATAAACTCGCATTTGAACAGGATAAAGGCAAAAAAAGTGTCTTTCGCGCTTCCAAGTTAAAACGATGGTAATACCAGGTC